TATTTGGCTTAAGAAAAAATTTGATACAATGTTCTAGGTGCTTCATAAAATGCATGAATGATGAAAGAATAATCGCATATAATAAATATTGTACTGAATTATGTGTCAGGGAGCACAAAAGTGTTTAAAAAAAACCAAACTGTACATTTACCTCTTACATTGATCCCCCCCTCCCCCCGCCCTTTCCCCCAGAAGTCACCAGTAGTTCAGAAAGAACCTCAAGCAACGGAAAATGAATCTTGGCCTAAAGATGAGCTGTTAACATGTAATAAGCAGGTGAAGCAGGTAAGCAGGTTTAGTACTATTGTGAGATAGTACTAGTTTTCCCATGCTTATGGATTAGATGCTTTAGAGCATACAGAGGTCTGCAAGCTGTTTCCTTACCACCTGCCCTTTAAAAGAAGATTTCTATAAAACAGGTCTTCGTACTGGTCTTGCAGCTTAAGGTTAGAGGAAAAAACAAATTAAGGTTCATTCGGTCAAATGTTGGGTTAGGCGTTTCTTTATGAGATTGGAAAGAAGATTACAAATGAAACAATGTATAAATAGAATCCTAATCTACATTTAACAAGTGGTTACCTTCCTGGAAAATGGCATAATGCTCTATATCCTTTTGGTTCTGCAATATTTCACACATGACAAAAACTGTCATTAGGATATTAACTCTATAAAGCTTAGATTTTTAGTGGAGAACACACGTCAAGGTTATAGAGACAGTCCCACAGAGGACAAATTTGTTGCTAATACCAAATAATGTCTTTTCTCATATGTTGTCAGTTTCTAGCATTCTGGTATTTCAAGGCTATAACCAGATACTAAAATAAAACCCTAACCTGGTTCCTTCGGCAGCTTGATGTAAATGATTACTTTACCTTAAAGTTGTTATATATGCTAATTGTAAAACAGAATAACACCGTTTATTATGTTTACAATGGTATAATGAGAAGGACAACCAAGAATGGGATACGTTTCCACTAGGCAGTGTTACGTGCAGAGATACCACATAGTCTTGGCCTAAACTTAAATATATGAGATGAACACAAGATTGGGTAAGCTACATGGGAAGACAGATACAGATGTTGAAAAGGAGATAAAGGGACCAAAATCAAAAGAGGATGAGACACACACATGTGGGATGCTTGTTGATGGCCCGGTATTTGCAAGTATGTTGTTTCAAGGTCTAGTTGCCATAAGGCAGAGGTCTAGTCAAAATGAGAAACCTGAATGTCTAAGGGCCTTGCTTCAGCTGCTTCTTCAGCTCCTCCCACTGACTGTAGTTTGGCTCTGATTGTGTCTCTCCAGGCTGCAGCGAGAAAGGGATATCGAGAGGTAGGCACGCGCCTAGAATTCCAGAGCGTTAGCAACCAACTTTCCTGATCAATTTTAGGATAGCCAAGAACCAAAGATGCACACAGCTTACCCTGAAGAGCTGAGGCACAGGCGAGCTCTGGGAGCGAGTCACAGGGGGATGACAGAAACTCCCCATCAGTTCTGGCACTGCATTCTGCAATGGTGCTACAGTGGACATGAAGTAGAGCCCTAAGTGACCTGGTGATGCTGGCCTGAGCAGTTCCAGTTGGCAGGCATTCTTCTATAGCTAAGGATTCATATTTCCTAGCAACCTTTGTGGTAGCAAAATTATTTCTGTTAGATGGGTTAGAGTTCTTCTGTTGAAGAAAATGGATGAAAATGAAATTATATTACTTCTTAAAAATTCTGCTAAATTAGAAAAAATACTGTGTTTTGAAATTTTCCTTACAATATTTGTCTGTCTATAGGTCAGAAATCTTTCTAATCCTTCAGTAACTGAAATCTTATGTGCCATTTGTACTTGGCTATAATGTTTTATATAATTAATAAGGATGTTTGCAGGTAGTTTTGAGAGTATACTCTGCAACATCAGTTATCGATTGGTTACTAAACTAAATATGCTAAATGATGTGTAAATAAACAGTGCAATTACACTGATGGTAATTTTTATAATATTCAAGAATATAGTAAGATTATTTATTACTTCTAAATTATATGCTATTTGCCAACACAACAGTTTCCCAGTTATTTAAAGAGTACTGGGGTACTGCGATGATGTTTTTTAGACAGTATTATTTTGGGCAGCATGCCACTTCTGTAATGCACTGCTGGTATTGTTGCAACACCAACCATCAGTGTGTGTTCAGTGATCTTACAACACAAAGTAGTTTGCAAGATTGGCACCTGAAAAGATAACACACATTAGGTTCTATTTAACACAAGTACTATGTAATTTAAATATATTGTTTAATTTGAAGGTGCATGCTTTCACTTTTATACGTGGAAAAAATAATGGAGACAAAATTTTAGGAAAAGAAAGAGGAATGTTTTTAAGAACCCATATGAATTAGCTAAAAGCTCTATCGCATCTGTATCAGAACTATTTCTATACAGAGTAACAGTAATGTACTGTGTATTAGTAATTCTAATAGAACACTATTCATTGGCATGTTTTTGTGACATCTTATTTTTGAAATTGTTTTGCTTTGCTTAGTGGGCTGCAGGGCCCATGCAATTTCAAGATAAATTGATTGATTGTGCAGATGAACATGCAAATTTGGTTATACACAAAGCAGTCAGATGAAAAAATGCAGATATTTGCTTTAGTTATTGTAATTTTATGTTACATCTGTAACTGAATTACATGAATATTTTTATTAAAAAGTTGTATGTTAGTTCACTGGTATTTCTACAAAGAAAATGAAATAAAATACGAGATTATGTAAATTTAAAATGTCCATCTAATAGTAAATGTGTTGGGTCATGTTCCCTGATTTTGTGCTTAAAGGTACTCTCCTCTACTTAGTATAGTCTCCATAATTCATTAGCAAAAGTGTGTTGAAGTTCCCCTTCGTGATCTGTTTCACAAAAAAGAACAGAACACAGAACTTTGCCTTATGATTTTAAAATAGTAGCTGCTCTAATTTTAGTTTTGGAGGTTTTCTTTAGCCATATTGGTGTCAAAGACCGACAAATGTTGTTAAGTATCTTCTGTTACTTTGGATATCACTTACATGGCATTTTTTTTCAAATTATTTGAGTATCTAGGCATTCCAAAAGCTGGTAATGGCAATGCATCCAATCAGGTTGTTTTTTTTTGTTTGGTTTTTTTTTTTTTTTAATTGGACAAGAGATCATGACACAAACATTTACCTGACATTCAAAAACAAAAAATCGTAGTCTTATATTTGACTCATTTTAATGATACATTTTCAGGTAAACCTATTACTTTCAAACTTTTATGTATTCCTTATTTTTTTTAGCCTATTTTCTCTATGTAAAATTGTTATTGACTTCCAGTTTCTCTGGTAAACATCAAATATCTGAGTTCGGTCCTTCATATTTTTTCATTTATGTGCTGATGTAAACAGTGTTGTAGGTTTCAAAAATAAACTAACAATATATGAAACCATTTTAATTTTGAATAAGCCTTTTTGGAAGGTCGTGACTCATTTTGGTATCTTCTGCAGTTCTCAGTATCTTTTAATTGGTGATTAATATACTTGTTTATGAAATATAAACTTCCATAATTTTTTCATGCAGTGATTTCTTCTGAGAAATTAAATATTGCTGAAGTTATCAGTAGACATAGGCATTGTGCCCAGTCATATTCTGGGATAAATAAAGCATATGAGTGGACAAAGAAGAGTAAAATCCTATGCTTTTGTGATTTAACCAGATATGTGACTGAAAATCTTAATTAGAAAGGCATTTGGTTACAACAATTGTTTTCTTTGGGTTCCTATAAACTGAACCTAGCCAGCCTTACAGAAGTAATTACCATGGTATATCAGGAAGAGCTGGAAAAAAAAAGTGGACTTACTTTTCATATTGAGAGAGAAAATTTTTTCAAGACAAAACATTTTAAAATTCATTTTTCCCACTATGGTGTTCTGTTTCTGCTTGTCTTTGTTATGCTATGACTATACTTTTTTTTTTTTAACTTGCTTTGTTGTGTTATGTATGCAAGCTTTTAAGGGGAGTTCAGAAGAACCCTTTTTATTGATGGCACTGCTAGTCTGTTTTAGGAAGATGTTTAACAGTCTGCAGGAAACAGAACTGTGGAATCGTTGAGGTTGGAAGGGAACTCTGGAGGTCATCACAATGTGGAAAAAGCAGCACAAGGGTATAGATTCTGTAGCTGAGTTTTATGAAACAGATGTAGACACTTTGGCAGCAATGATGACTTCAGTAGTTCCCTTTCCTTGCTGTTTGCTCTTGCTCCTGGATTACACTGAGCTGCCCCTGGCAATTTCTATGTGAGGACACTCTAGAAAGGGAATTAGAGATCTAGGTTAATTTCTGCCTTCCCTCCACACTTTTTTTTACTATTTTTTTCAGCATGGATCAGTTATCTGATCTATTTCATAATGTGAAAAAACAATTTTTGGCACAACTAAGCAGGTGGTGCTCTAATAAATAGGAATGAGCAGCTGTGGGTGGAAACACTAGGAATTCCTTACACCTGTATGCCTGCTGAAGTTCCTGTATTTAATAAACGTAACCTTGAAGAAACTTTTCTAAAAACATCATCCTTTAAACCATGTGTATCTGTTTGAATTTGTGTAAAAATATAATACCAATTTTAGATGTGTTCATGCTCTTCTAAGTTTAGTAGTTCTGAATAGTAATATGATTTTGATGCTCTTTTGATTATTCTTTTCATAATATATTGAAATACACTAATCTTATATGCTATTCAGAAATGCTATTTAGGTAGGGCACATTGGAAATTTTGCTTTATCACACTTTTCTGCTTATTCTATATCCTAAATAGCTGTGGGCACTGCTGTGATCTGTGTAGTGACATCAGTTCTAAACTACTATAGTTTAATTGAATTGTGTTTTCTGATGGTCAGAGTTGCTTGTGTGCCATTGCTCCTTGTTCTGCTCCAGAGTGGGTGTAAAAATACCCATATAACTTACCAGTTTGTAACACTGTGTTTATCTTCTGTTCATGAACATTTTAGGCTCCATCCTCAGATGTGCTACAGGTGAAAGGAAAAGCAATATCAAAAATTAAACCAGATGAAGTTCAGAAAGAGCTACAAGAGGAACACGACTTGCAACAATGTTTGCCTCCTCAGGCTTCAAATGTCAAGTAATTTTTTAATCTTATTTCATTATTATAAGAAAAATACTGAAAATATATGAAGTTATTAGCGCATAGTATGATAGATAAGTTTGGAGAGGAAATAATGCCATCCCCCCAAATTTGGATCTGAACCCTTGCAATTCCTGATCTAAATTATGAAGTTTAGTTTGGTATCACTAGTTTTAATTTGCTATTTGTCTCCTTGAAATAGCTCTGATTTATGTTTTTTAAAATCCAGAGGGCCTATTCAGTCCTGCTGTATGCAGATGAAACTTCTCTTGACTGCAGCAGAAACTGAAGTTGCTTATGTGGGGGTTGAATTGTCCATACAATTCCAAGCATAATCTAATCAAAATAATTAAAAACAAACAATGGAAAATACCACAAATTTAATATAAGCAATGCCAGCTGTAAGTCATCATCTTTAAATAGAGAAGATGTATTAAAAATTCATTAACTTGAATTTGTATTACAGTCAGTGCTTGTCTGAAATTCAGGAGATTTTACATGGAGAGCTGTAATTTAAGGACAACTGCTTATTACCTTGCTCTTGTCATAGGTTGTATCTGTCATTCTGTAGTAGGAGTGCAGATTACAAAAGTAGTACAGACCGTGTCCTAATTTAACTGATCCTGTCCATCCCGTGTCAAGTGAGACTCTTCAGTTTTATGGTCTTCACTGCTAATAAGATCTTTATAGATAGCTTTGTTTAGATGTACCATAGGCTTCTTCACTTCTCTATTGAGAAAAGGGGGGGGAGAAAGAAGAAACTTTAATTATTAGCTTTTGTTGTTCTTAGGGTCCCGAAAGGTCTATTGGATACAGAAGAGAGCCTTTTTATGGCAGGCCTGAAGTTTGTAAATGGATAATACTTTCAATTAAGTAGCTGAGAATAGTCATGGGAAAAGAATGCTTAAGTTTATGAAACAGTCAAATTGGCATTTAAGTGACCCTTTGCATGCCATTGCTTATCTGCATTGCTTAAAGATCATTTGGTTAGCAAGATTATATATTAAAACAAATAGTGTCAGCAGACAATGAGTGTTTTACCTTCAATAAATACTTACTGTCAGATTATCAATGGTGCAGAAACGGCACGATTTTCTAAAAAACCCGTATTTAGTGCATTAAGTGAAGGTAATGTAGGCCACACACATAGTATTGTTTTTTCATGTCCCCTTTTTTCAAAGAATGATAAATAGTCTGTTTTAGGAGAGTGTGTGCTGTAAAAACATTCACCTTTACCTGCAGCATGCCCCAAATATTTCAGTTTACATTGATAAAGCATTCGGTTAGTTCATTCAATGAAATGATAAACTTGTACACAAGAGCAGTAATGATAATGCAGTTAAATAACATTCAATTTGTTTTTATTTATTTAAAGTAAATAACAAAACTTAGGAAAAAGTTCCTAATTTTAAAATTATTTTGCTTGCTATCATTTACAGAAATCACTCCAAAAGTTGTAAGTTCAAAGTTAAACTGTTTGCCATCTATTTTTATTTCTTTTTTTAATTGTGTGGTAATTGCATTGCAGAGAAAGTGAACTGTGTTAGAGCATCCTGAGGTAAATTACTATAAACGTTTATGAAGATGATATACTCTCTATCGAGTTAAAAAAGTACTGTGAAATATTTCTTTCTAATTTTAAATTAATGTGATCTGCTTATTAAAGCACTTATCTCTGATTTCATACTCCAAAACAGTTACTTATTTCCATTCATGCTGTAAATGTATTCAATTAGTTAAAGAAAAAAATATTCTTTGCGGTAAATGGGGCTGCTGTAAGCATGCCTTAAATCCTAATCAGTCTCATGTATTGTACGATTGAGTTGCTTTTCAAACTGGATATTTCATTTTTATGTTTATCTTTCACATTTTATTTCATAGCCCTGACCCTGTTCTTATTCAGGCAAAAATGCCACTGATTTCAGTAGGGACTTTGGATTGTAAGATCTGGTGAAGCTGTCTTGTTGAAGCATAAAGTAACTAGGCTAATATTCTATATATTAAAGTTGTATAGCTTGAGAAAAAATATTTTGAGCAGTTTTAATTAAAATAAAAAGACTTACTGACTCTCTTTCCTATTGGCTTGTCATGTGCCTATAAACTTAGGTACTCAAGCTGTATTAATGTAACTGAGATATATCTGGTATATACTTGATGTGATAATTTCTTGATTATGAGTCAAATTTCTCTTATACTACACTTATTTTCATGTTTTTTTTCTACATGTGTGATTTTTATCTTTTACTTTTTTGCTGTCATTATTTTTCAGAAAACGTAAGCAAATATGTTATTTTTCTAACTTGAATATGTATTGCACAATAAATCAATCTTGTGTTTTTCCTTACTTCATTTTGTAGTTCTTGCTGATTTCCCCTTTATAATATCTGTTTATAACATAAGGCGTAGTTCCCATTAAAAAAAAACCAAATTGTTGGAAGTGTCATTGTCTCAGGAGAACCTCAGAAAAATAGTTAAATCCGAAAACTCTTTGGTGTAATTTCAAAGTGGAATTTTAACCATTTTCATTTGGGATTTTATCTTAAAATATGAAGGCACTTATGAACTTTAATTGAAATTAGCATATATTTGGGGAGCCATTTCTGAGTTTTTTACATTTCAGACAGTTTCCATATACTGCTCTTCGCATTGTAACTGTCTCCCCATTAGACATTTATTAACTTTGCAGAGTTCATACAGTAGCTGGAGTCTGTTTTTAGAATTTGATCCATGGCCTGTGGAAGTCAATAGACTTTCATCACCTTCAGTACAACTTAGATTGGGGGGTTAAATGGTAGAATTTTTTAGTTACTAACTTTTCAAAGGTAGTCAAAGACCCGGTATTTCCTCTAGAATCAACAGCTGAATTGAAAAGCTAGGAAGAAGTTCAAGTGATAGCATATCATAAAACTAATTCAAAGTTTTAAGGGTATTTACAAGGTACTCTGTCATGGGAGAGAATTTGCAGATGAATGTATATGTAACATTTTAACATAACATTTATTCACATACCCAATTTAAGCTGTAAATCTGCATTACTTGGTTAAGTTTTCAGTGCAGCAAGTGAAAGCTCTACTTAAGTTGGGAAAGTAAAATTGTGACTACTGCACTTACTTTTTACTTTAAAATCATTACCAACATCTTAGCTTTTACCTGTTTTTCTTTTCTAAATAATAAGATCCCTACTTTTAGTAGAAATTACCAGGGACTTTATGCCAAGTATTTGTGTTAGCAATTTATATCCTATGGTCTGAGGTATGTCATGATGTAGTATTTGATAAACTGTATACTTTAGAATATAGAGAATGGATATCAAGATTCTTGATTTCTTTGTTTTCCTTTCTAGATGTCAACATTATCCAGGCATTCATCACCTATGTACTGCTTTTCCTAGTTTTATATTACCTCCTTATTTACAACTGGTTTCTAGAGTTTATCATACTTTAGACAGAAGAGGTCACAATATCTTATTTACAGCAGAGGACATGGACAATAAGGAGGAAGAACCAATGTGTTCCAAATATATTTATTTGAAAGAGCAAGCTGAAAGGAAAAGGTATGAACTTATTTATTTTCAGAGTTACTATGATTAATTTTGTAAGTTCATAGAATCATAGAATGTTAAAGGATTATATGTTGAGAAATAACTTTCATGGTGTTTCAGTGCTTAGTAGCTTCAAAGAAGTGGCAAAGAAAAAGATTTGAAAAAAATTGCTTTATTTGGTAGATGTGTTTTAAAGTAGTTAGAACAAGGGTACTAAAAGGCTTATATCTTCCTTAGAATGTAAAATGTATTGTATGTTTTTAAAAGTAAATTGCATTTTGTAGACATTTTAAGTTATATGTCACTATTTAGGTTATAAATATATGAATTTTTATACTTCATTCTACTTACATGAGAGGTCCCATTGAAATAACAAGAAATACTGGGCAAATAGAGTAGGCTTTCTGTGAATGTAAAGTTCTGCAATAGTAAAAGGTTTAAAGTGCACACCCCCTAGCCCTTTATCACAGAGACAATCTTACCTCAATCCTGATTCTACAGGCGCTTAGGAACAAGCATAACTTTAAGTAATTGAGTGTAGTCCTGTTGAGCTCAACACATGCACAATGTTAAGTACATACAGAACTGGGACATAGATAAACTTGTAGTCAAAAGTATTCATTGCATATGTAAAAGGTAGTCATGTGATAACTGCAGGATCCTGCATCTTTAATAATGAGGAGCTGAAGTAGAACAAAATGCATAATAATTAATTTTTCTGAGGTTGATGCAGCATGTAAAAAGGATCTGTCAAAAAATTTGTTCTATATGAAGTAGTGAGGAAATGTAAGTGGATTTTGCAATAAGCCTACTCAGTTTTGTCATGTTGTTATATTACCAATTTTTATATCTGATGGTAGTGAATTACTAAATCTTTGTGGTTTTTTTTTGGGGGGGATGTATTATGCACTAAAATAATGTGCATGTGAATGAATATGAAGCATATTCTTTTTTCATTACTTAGTACTTTGGTTACATTTTTGCTTTTTTGTGTCTTTCTAGCTTATATAATAATGTAAAAAAATTCAGAACTAGAGCCTTAATAGTCTCAAGTTTTTTCCTGATGGTTTTTCAGACTGGCGGTTTGCTACTTACAGTTTCTGTGTATAACCAGCTCCAGAAATATAAAATTATTGCTCATAAAGTCTGTAGTGATCTAAAGAACGGTAGAGTGGTAAATAAGGATAAGGCTAGGTCAGTTTTACAGGGCAATTTGTATAGCTTGTTAACTTGGGCTTACTTGAAAAACATGCGTTTTAGTGCAGCCAAATGCAAGGTCATAAGGATAAGAATAGGGAATTAGGGTCATCCTTTGTAGGAGGGGAGATTGTATCCTGAAAAGCAGTAACTCTGAAAGGAGCTTTACAGTCTTGAAAGATAAGCAACAGAAGATGGCTGTGTAATGCTCTCTGAACTTTCAATTAAACATGTTTACCTTAAAATAAAGGAGGTGAGA